ATGCACTGGATGAGCATTCTGCTGTGGGTGTCGATGTCATCACAGATTGCAAATGCAGTGCATTTGGCTGCACTAGATCACATGATACCGCAGTACCATACAATCCAGTTACAGTGCATTTTTAAAAGTAGTGCATGCACTACTTTTAGTGTTTCCTAGTATGATTTCAGTTCATTCAAATGAATGGGCTGGAAAATACATTGCATTGAAAAGCACAGGAATCACACAGGAATGCAGAGCTCATTTCTGTGCAATTCCTGTGTGAACGAGCACTAAGAAAGAAATGTAATTGCAGATGCTCTTTCAGTTACGTGATGTAGCACTAAATAATTTACATTCTGGCTCAAAAATAAATGCTTATATGCAATATTTTATAATTATCATTTAAAAAAGAACATTTTCATGATTTCTTTTGTTTAGCTTTTACCATACAAAAAGAAAACAGAATTTATGGATGAAATAACTGTATATTCCTGCTAAGAATGATCTCAGTTACTAAAGATAGCTGAAGTAGGGTATTTATCTTCGTTATATATGAGGACTGTCTTTTCTCACTTTTCATTCTGCAATTGTTAGTTTCTTGGCTGTAAAACTGACTCTCTGGTTTCACTTCTTTGAGTCACTGAACAGGAACAAATACTGTATGTAGATATGGAATTCTGACTTTACTTTGATTTTCCTAATCTTTTTACTTCTTACAAAGTTCTGGTTAGCAAAATAGCCAAGCAGCTAGCATTTCGAGAGGTCAGTAATGGTAGCTTCCATGTTTATTTCAGATAACGTTTGCTTTAAGTGTAACCCTTTTAACTGAGCCTTTCAGCGCTGAGCGAACTATTGGCGCTTTATAAATACTGTATAATAATAATAATAATAACTGGAAGTAAAATCAGAAAAGTCTAAATATTATTAAGATGCAGACATTTTCAGCTGCCTACATGCAACTTTTAATGTCTTCTCAGGTGCTGCAGAACCCCTAAAATTCAGGCTAAATATGGAACTTTAGTCAAAAAATGTAATTCTGCTAGATAACTTCAAGCTGGCCTCTTTGCAGGTATAGCTTTAAAAACATTAAAAATAAGTGCCTATATTGTTTAAAATCCAAAAATACAGTCTCACCCTGCTCTGCACATGCTCAGTTGCTCTCTATTTTTTGGCACTGTGCCTAAAATCAGATCCACTGCTACAGTCCAAAGATTTACTGCTGCTCAGTGGATCTGGGCTTCAGCAAAATGGCAGCCTCTAACAAGAAGTGCTCATAACAATGCTGGAGACAACTGACAGCACACACTCATTTTGGTAGCATAATTATTAAAGTGGAATGCATGTTCCTTGCACTAACTCCCCATATTCTGTACCTACCTGCTGGTTGCTGAACCTGAACCTGTGGTGCTAAAAAGAAATTAAAAAATAAAAACATGTGTGGGTATCTACATGTGCTTATATTAATAATATTTTAACATTTCTATTTTTTTTTTTTGCAATAGAAAGGATTGCTTCAAGATTTTGGTGGAGCTTAAAGCATAGTATGTGCAGGGAACAGGGACTGATTGACCATTTGGAAACTCGGGCACTGCCCGAGGGCCCGGGGTCAGTAGGGGGCCCCATGAGATGCCCCTGGTACCTTTTTCATAGGCTTTTTTTGCGTTTGGGCAAGGACACAGTGGCCCCATGATCCCCTATTGCTGGGGGCCCCATGAGTTGTCAGTCCGCCCCTGGCAGGGAACATACAATAGTTATTCTAGTCATACAAGATAATAATTTATAAGTCTAGTCATGGGGGTTGGGATAAAACTGATGACTGTCTCATCATAAAAATGTAGATGAGGGCTATTGGAATTCTTTCAAAAGGCTCAGGTACAGTTAAGCTATCTAAAGAATAATTCACAAATATATTCAGAAAAAAATGTTGTAGATGCTTTTATACAAAAATTAGCATAATATTGCTAAATATTCACAAACACTAGAGAGATATTGGCAGCCATTTGTTAAATATTAGTTCTTGAATTAATGGCTTAAATACTTTCTAGACGTTGATTTCGTTGATTAGCTAGAATCCTTCTTTTTGCATTCCTGATACAGAAGACTTGAACAGACTTGACAGCTTGCATTGCTGAATAACTGTTTACCAATAAAGGCATCATCTCAATCCAATTAACTGCTAATTTTCTCTCAATACCATACATTTTTACCCTGCTGGTTAATGCACAATTTAATATCCTGAGCAACATAAAAATAATGGTATCTTTAAAACAGAGAGCTATTGCACACATATTTATGCAGACTCTAGTGACTTTAAAATCTGAAAGCAAACTGAATATTGGTAATTTTAGCATAAAGCAGAGACTCAGAACTTTTGAAAAAGAGCATAAAATATCCAGTGTGATTACATGGAATATAAAATGTAGACCAGTTCTTCCATACAGCCCAAGGCAGCGTCCCCTAGAGGCTACATGGAGCAAAGTTCTAACTTTAAGTCGAACTAAAGTTTTATTTAAAAACTTTCTGGCAGGTAGTGTTTTATTGGAGAAGAGACACTATTTTGTCTCTTCTACCAAAAAAAAAATGCTACCTGATTGCCAGTGAAACTCAGTGTACAATCCCAGCATTTGCCAGGTGCTGGGATAAATTAACTTCCATGTGAATGCCAAACAAGATAGTGATTGAGACTAGAGATGAGCGAATGATTCAAAAATTCGATTCGACCGATTCGGCGAATTCGTGAAAAAATTTTGATTCGAGTCGAATATATTCGCTGCGAATTTAACTTATAAAAGGGTGTTTCTAGGCTTCAGAGAGCCTTTATATTAGTGCAGAACACTGTACCTTTAATTTAAATGCCCTTGGAGTCTGCTGGGGAAGAGAAATAATACTATCAGTCAGTATGACATGCAGATGAGTGCCGTCGATCTTAGAATCACCGCACACTTCACTCATTTGGGCAGTCACGGGGCCAAAACCAGAGTGTGGAGCAACAGTGTGGCGGTGGAGGCAGCAGCAATGGGAGGCCATACAGCACCCTATGACAAAATGGAACCCACCAGCAGTGTGAGGAGACCTGAAAGTGGCACATGGCAGAGTGTGGCGAGGGAGACAGCAGCAATGGGAGGCCGTACAGGGACCCATGAGACACTCTGGACCTGGCAGCAGCATGAGGAGGCGGTACGGGGGCCCATGGCAGATTACGGGCCTGGCAGCAGCAATGGGAGGCCGTACAGGGACCCATGACACACTCTGGACCTGGCAGCAGCATGAGGAGGCGGTACAGGGGCCCATGACAGATTACGGGCCTGGCAGCAGCATGAGGAGTCGGTACGGGGGCCCATGACACACTCTGGACCTGGCAGCAGCATGAGGAGGCGGTACAGGGGCGCATGACAGATTACGAGCCTGGCAGCAGCAACTTGGACAGGAGGACGTTCAGCTTCTGCACCGTCGGGTGCGTGCTCGCAAACTGTTGTCTCTTGGAAACGGATTCCAAGAAAGACTGCTGACGGAATCCGTGAAGAGGAGTAGCAGGAGAAGGAGCATCTGAACGAGCGGAATATGCCAACAAGCGACAACAGGGGCCGATGACAGATTACGGGCCTGGCAGCAGCATGAGGAGTCGGTACGGGGGCCCATGGCAGATTACGGGCCTGGCAGCAGCAATGGGAGGCCATACAGCACCCTATGACAAAATGGAAACCCACCAGCAGTGTGAGGAGACCTGAAAGTGGCACATGGCAGAGTGTGGCGATGGAGACAGCAGCAATGGAGGCGGTACAGGGACCCATGAGACACTGTGTACCTGGCAGCAGCATGAGGAGGCGGTACAGGGGCCCATGGCAGATTAAGGCCTGGCAGCAGCAATGGGAGGCCCGTAATCTGCCAGCACCCTATGACAAAATGGAACCCTGGGCTGGGGCAGGCAGAACCGCCGTATCTTTATCACGGTTTTCCCAGGCCACCGAATGGCGACGCTGCATATGCTGACGCAACGCTGTAGTCCCAACATGGGCCCCCTGGCCACGCTTGACTTTCTGGCCACATAGTCGACGTTTACTTCCTCGGGCGGCTTGACGAAAAATTGCCACACCGCCGAGTAGAAAACTTTGCCCCCGCTACTCCTCACTGGCTGACTGCTACTTCCTCTGTGCACAACGGCACCACTACTGGCCGTGGTGGTAGGCTGCAGTGGAGACTGGTGCTCTACTCCGTGGCCGTTTGCCTCCACTGACACTGCTGCTCGACCCTGCTGCCTCATGGCAGCAGCAATGGGGAGGAGGAGGCGGTACAGGGGCCCATGGCAGATTAGGGGGGGCCTGGCAGCAGCTATGGGAGGCCCGTAATCTGCCAGCACCCTATGACAAAAAATGGAACACACCAGCAGTGTGTGAGGAGACCTGAAAGTGGCACATGGCATGACACACTGTGGACCTGGCAGCAGCATGAGGAGGCGGTACAGGGGCCCATGGCAGATTAGGGGCCTGGCAGCAGCTATGGGAGGCCCATAATCTGCCAGCACCCTATGACAAAATGGAACACACCAGCAGTGTGTGAGGAGACCTGAAAGTGGCACATGGCATGACACACTGTGGACCTGGCAGCAGCATGAGGAGGCGGTACAGGGGCCCATGGCAGATTAGGGGCCTGGCAGCAGCTATGGGAGGCCCGTAATCTGCCAGCACCCTATGACAAAATGGAACACACCAGCAGTGTGAGGAGACCTGAAAGTGGCACATGGAATGACACACTGTGGACCTGGCAGCAGCATGAGGAGGCGGTACAGGGGCCCATGGCAGATTAGGGGCCTGGCAGCAGCTATGGGAGGCCCGTAATCTGCCAGCACCCTATGACAAAAAATGGAACACACCAGCAGTGTGTGAGGAGACCTGAAAGTGGCACATGGCAGAGTGTGGCGATGGAGACAGCAGCAATGGGAGGCCGTACAGGGACCCATGAGAGACTCTGGACCTGGCAGCAGTATGAGGAGGCGGTACAGGGGCCCATGGCAGATTAGGGGCCTGGCAGCAGCTATGGGAGGCCCGTAATCTGCCAGCACCCTATGACAAAATGGAACACACCAGCAGTGTGAGGAGACCTGAAAGTGCACATGGCAGATGGCATGGAGACAGCAATGGGAGGCCTACAGGGTGGACCTGGCAGCAGCATGAGGAGGCGGTACAGGGGCCCATGGCAGATTAGGGGCCTGGCAGCAGCTATGGGAGGCCCGTAATCTGCCAGCACCCTATGACAAAAAATGGAACACACCAGCAGTGTGTGAGGAGACCTGAAAGTGGCACATGGCAGAGTGTGTGGCGATGGAGACAGCAGCAATGGGAGGCCGTACAGGGACCCATGAGAGACTCTGGACCTGGCAGCAGCATGAGGAGGCGGTACAGGGGCCCATGGCAGATTAGGGGCCTGGCAGCAGCTATGGGAGGCCCGTAATCTGCCAGCACCCTATGACAAAAAATGGAAACACACCAGCAGTGTGTGTGAGGAGACCTGAAAGTGGCACATGGCAGAGTGTGGCGATGGAGACAGCAGCAATGGGAGGCCGTACAGGGACCCATGAGAGACTCTGGACCTGGCAGCAGCATGAGGAGGAGGGTACAGGGGCCCATGGCAGATTAGGGGCCTGGCAGCAGCAATGGGAGGCCGTAATCTGCCAGCACCTATGACAAAATGGAACACACCAGCAGTGTGAGGAGACCTGAAAGTGGCACATGGCATGACAGACTGTGGACCTGGGCAGCAGCATGCCGGAGGCGGTACAGGGCCCATGGCAGATTAGGGGCCTGGCAGCAGCAGATGGGAGGCCCGCCCGTAATCTGCCAGCACCCTATGACAAAAAATGGAACACACCAGCAGTGTGTGAGGAGACCTGAAAGTGGCACATGGCAGAGTGTGGCGATGGAGACAGCAGCAATGGGAGGCCGCGTACAGGGACCCATGAGAGACTGTGGACCTGGCAGCAGCATGAGGAGGCGGTACAGAGGAGGCGGTACAGGGGCCCATGGCAGATTAGGGGCCTGGCAGCAGCTATGGGAGGCCCGTAATCTGCCAGCACCCTATGACAAAAAAAATGGAACACACCAGCAGTGTGAGGAGACCTGAAAGTGGCACATGGCATGACAGCAGCTGTGGGACGTACAGGGCAGCAGCATGGAGGCAGGCATGAGGAGGCGGTACAGGGGCCCATGGCAGATTAGGGGGCCTGGCAGCAGCTATGGGAGGCCCGTAATTGCCAGCACCCTATGACAAAAAATGGAACACACCAGCAGTGTGTGAGGAGACCTGAAAGTGGCACATGGCAGAGTGTGGCGATGGAGACAGCAGCAATGGGAGGCCGTACAGGGACCCATGAGAGACTCTGGACCTGGCAGCAGCATGAGGAGGCGGTACAGGGGCCCATGGCAGATTAGGGGCCTGGCAGCAGCAATGGGAGGCCCGTAATCTGCCAGCACCCTATGACACAAAATGGAACACACCAGCAGTGTGAGGAGACCTGAAAGTGGCACATGGCATGGAGACAGCACAATGGGAGGCCGTACAGGGACCCATGGCTGGACCTGGCAGCATGCATGAGGAGGCGGTACAGGGGCCCATGGCAGATTAGGGGCCTGGCAGCAGCTATGGGAGGCCCGTAATCTGCCAGCACCCTATGACAAAAAATGGAAAACACCAGCAGTGTGTGAGGAGACCTGAAAGTGGCACATGGCAGAGTGTGGCGATGGAGACAGCAGCAATGGGAGGCCCGTACAGGGACCCATGAGAGACTGTGGACCTGGCAGCAGCATGAGGAGGCGGTACAGGGGCCCATGGCAGATTAGGGGCCTGGCAGCAGCTATGGGAGGCCCGTAATCTGCCAGCACCCTATGACAAAAAATGGAACACACCAGCAGTGTGTGAGGAGACCTGAAAGTGGCACATGGCAGAGTGTGGCGATGGAGACAGCAGCAATGGGAGGCCGTACAGGGACCCATGAGAGACTCTGGACCTGGCAGCAGCAGCATGAGGAGGCGGTACAGGGGCCCATGGCAGATTAGGGGCCTGGCAGCAGCAATGGGAGGCCCGTAATCTGCCAGCACCCTATGACAAAATGGAACACACCAGCAGTGTGAGGAGACCTGAAAGTGGCACATGGCAGAAGTGTGGCGATGGACATGGCGTATGGGACCACTGTGAGACACTCTGGACCTGGCAGCAGCATGAGGAGGCGGTACAGGGGCCCATGGCAGATTAGGGGCCTGGCAGCAGCTATGGGAGGCCCGTAAATGCCAGCACCCTATGACAAAAAATGGAACACACCAGCAGTGTGTGAGGAGACCTGAAAGTGGCACATGGCAGAGTGTGGCGATGGAGACAGCAGCAATGGGAGGCCGTACAGGGACCCATGAGAGACTCTGGACCTGGCAGCAGCATGAGGAGGCGGTACAGGGGCCCATGGCAGATTAGGGGCCTGGCAGCAGCTATGGGAGGCCCGTAATCTGCCAGCACCCTATGACAAAAAATGGAACACACCAGCAGTGTGAGGAGACCTGAAAGTGGCACATGGCAGTGTGGCGATGGAGACAGCAGCAATGGGAGGCCGTACAGGGACCCATGTGGACCTGGCAGCAGCATGAGGAGGCGGTACAGGGGCCCATGGCAGATTAGGGGCCTGGCAGCAGCTATGGGAGGCCCGTAATCTGCCAGCACCCTATGACAAAAAAATGGAACACACCAGCAGTGTGAGGAGACCTGAAAGTGGCACATGGCAGAGTGTGGCGATGGAGACAGCAGCAATGGGAGGCCGTACAGGGACCATGAGAGACTCTGGACCTGGCAGCAGCATGAGGAGGCGGGTACAGGGGCCCATGGCAGATTAGGGGCCTGGCAGCAGCAATGGGAGGCCCGTAATCTGCCAGCACCCTATGACAAAAAAAATGGAACACACCAGCAGTGTGAGGAGACCTGAAAAGTGGCACATGGCAGAGTGTGGCGATGGAGACAGCAGCAATGGGAGGGCCATACAGGGACCCATGAGACACTCTGGACCTGGCAGAGCAGCATGAGGAGGCGGTACAGGGGCCCATGGCAGATTAGGGGCCTGGCAGCAGCTATGGGAGGCCCGTAATCTGCCAGCACCCTATGACAAAAAATGGAACACACCAGCAGTGTGTGAGGAGACCTGAAAGTGGCACATGGCAGAGTGTGGCGATGGAGACAGCAGCAATGGGAGGCCGTACAGGGACCCATGAGAGACTCTGGACCTGGCAGCAGCAGCATGAGGAGGCGGTACAGGGGCCCATGGCAGATTAGGGGGGCCTGGCAGCAGCTATGGGAGGCCCGTAAATTGCCAGCACCCTATGACAAAAAATGGAACACACCAGCAGTGTGAGGAGACCTGAAAGTGGCACATGGCATGACAGCACACTGTACAGGGACCCATGGAGACTCTGGACCTGGCAGCAGCATGAGGAGGCGGTACAGGGGCCCATGGCAGATTAGGGGCCTGGCAGCAGCTATGGGAGGCCCGTAATCTGCCAGCACCCTATGACAAAAAATGGAACACACCAGCAGTGTGTGAGGAGACCTGAAAGTGGCACATGGCAGAGTGTGGCGATGGAGACAGCAGCAATGGGAGGCCGTACAGGGACCCATGAGACACTCTGGACCTGGCAGCAGCATGAGGAGGCGGTACAGGGGCCCATGGCAGATTACGGGCCTGGCAGCAGCAATGGGAGGCCCGTAATCTGCCAGCACCCTATGACAAAAAATGGAACACACCAGCAGTGTGAGGAGACCTGAAAGTGGCACATGTTTGGGGCATGATTCATGGCGGATTTAGTCAGTTGTGTCAGGAACTGGTGGTTTGAAATCCAGACTAATCCACGCCTGATTCATTTTCACAAACGTGAGTCTCTCCACACTTTGGGTGGACAGTCGTGTCCTCCGCGGAGTTACAATACCTCCTGCCGCACTAAAAACACGCGCTCGATGCCACGCTACTGGCCGGGCATGACAGCCTTTCAAGGGCAAATTCAGCTAGTTGGGGCCAAAGGTCAAGTTTCGTTGCCCAGTAGTCAAGGGGATTGTCTACCTCGGTTGGCAGGGTGCTGTCCAAGTAGGCCCAAGCCTGTTGTTTGAGGTCCTGCTCCAGGTCCACCTGATGCTGCTGCTGCTGCTGCTGCGGCTGGTTAGTAGTTTCCTCACTGCGCTGGTGAAGAAAGCTCTCATCATCGACTGCAGACTGAGGCAGCCGCTGCTGGTGGAGCTGCCACTGCTCCTACCACCCCACCCCTCCCCTGCTGCCATGGCAGCGGAACGCGAGCGCACAGGGCCCACAGTGTCTGAGGATGGACGTTGGCGCACACAAAGGCAGAGACCAACTGACTACATAGGTGGTTTTTATAGTACGTTATTTTGGCCTCCCTCTCAGCAGGTGTGAAAAAGGCCACCATTTTTGAACGGTAGCGAGGGTCCAACAAGGTGGACAGCCAAAAGTCATCCCTCTGTCTGATGGTTATTATTCGGCTGTCGCTACGCAAGCAAGCGAGCATGCTATGGGCCATTTGTGCCAAGGAATGCGAGGGACTCCCTGCCTCCATCTCCACAGCATACTGCCACGGTGCGTCTGGGTCCTCTGTCTCCTCCTCCTCCTCCTCTACCAGATGCTCCTGCTCCTCCACTCCTGTCCGCTGAGTGGAAAAAACCACCCATTTCACTCAATAATTCCTGAGCACAAAATGTCCTCCTCTACCTCCTCCTCTTCTTCCTGTCCTGCCCCCACAGGGGTCATGTGGCGTTGAGATCTGTGCGCCACGTCTACCGCACCCTGACCAGCCATTGTTAACAGCATTTGTTCCAGGACGTGCAACAGAGGAATGACGTCGTTCATCCCATAGTCCTGCCGACTCACGAATAGCGTGGCCTCCTCAAAGGGCCTGAGCAAGCGGCAGGTGTCACGCATGAGCTGCCAATGGCTGACATCGAAGTTACACAGGGGAGTACCTTTATCCGCTTGTAACATCAGGAAATCGGTGATGGCCTTTCGCTGTTCGTAAAGGCGGTCTAACATGTGTAGGGTTGAATTCCACCTTGTTGCAACGTCGCAGATCAGGCGATGCTGTGGAATTCCGTTCTGCCGCTGCAGCTCAAAGGAGGGTGTGCTTTGCGGTGTAGGAATGGCTGAAATGCATGCAAAGTTTACGTGACATTTTAAGGATGTCTTGCAGTGGGATGGTGGATTTTAGGAACCGCTTGACAACCAGATTGAACACGTGAGCCATGCATGGCGCATGGCACAACCTTCCTTGACGCAGAGCAGACACCATGTTCTTTCCGTTGTCGGTCAACATGGTTCCGATTTTCAGTTTGCGCGGAGACAGCCATCTGTCGATTTCTCTGTTCATTACACTGAGAAGTTCCTCCCCTGTGTGACTACGTTCGCCAAGGCATACCAGGTGCAGCACAGCGTGACACCGTTGCGCCCTGCACATGTGATATGCCGGTCGGGTAATGGGACTTGGCACGGGGGGGGGTGGCGGCTGAGGACACGGCGGAAGAAGAGGTGGTAGAGGCGGACATCTTTTGTGGACCAAGGACGTGCAAACGTGGAGGCAAAAGCGGCGTGACCTGTCCAAGTTTGCTGGTGCGGCTGTGCCGGCACCACGTTCACCCAGTGGGCCGTAAATGACATGTACTGTCCCTGACCGTAGTTACAGCTCCACACGTCGGCGCTGCCGTGCACTTTGGCAGAGACCGACATGCTCAAAGACTGGCCCACCATCTCTTCTACATGTGAATGCAGGGCTGGCACTGCCTTTTTGGCGAAGAAATGACGGCTTGGCACTCTCCACCGCGGCGCGGCACAAGCCATCATTTCTCGGAAAGGTGCTGAGTCCACCACTTGGAAAGGGAGGGACTGCAGCACCAGCAACTTGGACAGGAGGACGTTCAGCTTTTGCACCGTCGGGTGCGTGCTCGCAAACTGTTGTCTCTTGGAAACGGATTCCAAGAAAGACTGCTGACGGAATCCGTGAAGAGGAGTAGCAGGAGAAGGAGCATCTGAACGAGCGGAAGATGCCAACGAGCGACAACTCCCCTCAGCAGAGGTGTTGGAGCCTTGACTGGCTGATAGAGGGCGATTGACGTCGGGTGACGGAGCAAGTAACGGGAGCGGGTGATGGAGCGGGGGCTGGGGCAGGCAGAACCGCCGTATCTTTATCACGGTTTTCCCAGGCCACCAAATGGCGACGCTGCATATGCTGCCGCAACGCTGTAGTCCCAACATGGGCCCCCTGGCCACGCTTGACTTTCTGGCCACATAGTCGACATACGGCTACGTTTACTTCCTCGGGCGGCTTGACGAAAAATTGCCACACCGCCGAGTAGGAAACTTTGCCCCCGATACTCCTCACTGGCTGACTG